AGAGGACAGTCTTCTGGTGCCGTACAGCGCGCTCGAGGCGTTTGGAGCGCACTTTCTCAAGATCCAAACTCGAGGACGGGGCTTTTAGTGCCGACGAGTATATCGCGCACCTGGCCATCCGACATTCGACCGGCAATCCAGACAAGGATGCCAAGGAAGGAAAGCAGACGTGGCTTGTGTTCACCTCCAGTCGCCTCATCATTCTGCTCAGTGAGAAGGATGGGCGGGCAAAGCCTGAGGCCTACGTTGCGCGCTCTCCAACTTCCATCTTTGCCGTGACACCGACACAAAATGGTGTTGACATTGATGCCGAAATGTTCAACGCGTCCTCTGTTGTCGGAGCCATGGAGTTGTTCGGGATGGCCAAAGCCAAGCGTCGCAAGATCACCATTCCCATGACAGATGGCCCCGCCCGGCAGCTTTTGTGTCGCACATTTGCCCGTTGGATGCCTGTCGCCAAGGACTCTAGCGCGCCCTGAAGGGGTGGTGTTTCTGGTGTGTGTTTGTTGTTGTTTGTTGGTGTGAGTGTTTGTTGTTGTTTGTTGGTGTGTTAGTTGTTGAGGTGTTTTGTTTGAAAGTGAGTTTTTCAGTGCTGTTGTTGTTTGTTTGACTGTCAAGTGAATACTCCAAGCATGCGCTTTGTTCTGGGCGTGTTCATTTTGATCATTTTTTGTGCTTTGATTTCAACAAAGCAAGCCACATGTCAGGCTCGGTACCCATGCTGGCGAGCTGATTCGATTCTGCCTCGCGCTCCGGATGCAGTTCTGTGACCTGTGCACCGACGAAGCGTTTTTCGTGTTTTTTCGTGTCAGTGCAGTGACGTGGGGAAATCAATAGCGTTTAGTTGCTCAAAACAACAAGACCCGTCGAATTGAACATCAACACAAGCAGACATCAATGTGAAAAGCACAAAAAGATATGGGAATCATGCACGGCCAGGCAGAATCTACAAAGAGGCAGAGTTTTTGGGAAAGGGGCAGGCAAAAACCGACAGGCAAGCTAGTTTTTGAGTTCGGCGTAGTCGACATTCTCAGCCTGCTCGGTCTGTGAGGAGGGTGCGACAGTCACTGCTGCGTAAGGGGTGGGCGAGAACGTGGGCGGCGCACGAACATTCGATGCGTTAAGCAGTAAAGGATCCGCGTACTCGACGCCGCTACCCGACGCTTGCGCTGTACTGGATGCAGACACAGATGCTTCGGCATACACCTGTTCCGACGAACCGACAGAAGGAGCCTGGGGCTTTGAGCCGACATCTTCGTACAAGTCGTGCTCTCCAGGAGCAGACACAGCTGCGTATGTGGGATTCGCAACATTGGACGCTCTGTGATCAACAGACTGGTAGGTCGGTTCCGTGCCAGATGCAGATTCGCGTCGTTTGTTGGCCGTGCCAATGGGTGCAAAGGCATTGGACGAGCGACGACGTCGAAGGGCCACAGCCAGCGCAGCCAACAAGATGAGTGCCAACAGACCAAGAATGACTCCGAGAATAATCGGCCAAGAATCTGAGTCACTTGAATCGTTTGGAGCATTGGACGCGGCAGATGCAGCAGATGTCTGCCACACAAAAGAAGCACTGGCAGCTGATGCAGACGCCTGGGATGCAACGGAAGCTGAAGACACCGTAGCGAGGGAAGCAAAGGATGCCGAGGAAGCGGAAGCATCGGAAGCGACAGACGCGAATGAGGTGCTTGCAGCAGATGCAATCAAAGCAGATGATGCGGAAGCGATGGAAGCAAAGGATGCCGAGGTGGCGGAGAGATCAGAAGCGACACTTGCGGACACCTGCGAGGCAATTGAGGCTGAAGACACCGTAGCGAGGGAAGCAAAGGATGCCGAGGAAACGGAAGCATCTGAAGCGGCGGATGCGTGCGACGCGCTGGCAGCAGAAGCATCAGAGGCAAACGAGGCGGACACCTCGGAGGCAACTGACGCCGAAGAGGCAGTTGCAGCGGAGGCAAACGATGCGGAGACCTCGGAGGCAATTGAGGCTGAAGACACCGTAGCGAGGGAAGCAAAGGATGCCGAGGAAACGGAAGCATCTGAAGCGGCGGATGCGTGCGACGCGCTGGCAGCAGAAGCATCAGAGGCAAACGAGGCGGACACCTCGGAGGCAACTGACGCCGAAGAGGCAGTTGCAGCGGAGGCAAACGATGCGGAGACCTCGGAGGCAAGGGACACTGATGACGCGGAAGCGATGGAAGCAAAGGATGCAGAGCTCGCCGAAACAAGTGACGCAATCGAGGCGGATTGCGTGGACGCGACGGAAGCAAGGGAAGCAAGGGAAGCAAGCGACACGCATGATCCACTCATCGGAACGTAACCTTCATAGCACTGAGTGCACACAGTGGATGAAGAGCAGTACAAGCAATTGTTCGGGCAACACGAGCTGGACCCAGTAGCATAGCAGGTGGCGCAGGCTGTATCACACTCTGCAGTTACAACAAGTCAGTCAAACAATTCCCTGGTGATTGTAGTCATATAGGAACTTACTATATGGAGTGGCTGCGCTGCCGTATGTGCTGGGTGGAGCAACAGAGTTTCCACCAAAGGTAAAGTTGTTGGGGGCCAGATATGGGTAAGAAAACGACAACGCCAAGCCATTTGGCAAGCCTTTGAACAGACCGGGCGGCAAAGTCGTGAGGGGGTTGCCATTTAAAGTCCTGCAAGTTCCGCAAAGTCAGAGGCGAATCAAACACAACATGCACCTTGAGCTCTGTGCCTACACTCTAGTCAGCGCTGTCAGGCCGGCGAATGTGTTTGCAGAAATATCGACAATCTGGTTGAGATGTAGATATCTACAGATGGAGTTGCCAACGAGTGAGTTGTTTGCATGTGATCCTTCATGTCGTTGCTTTGCTTACAAGTAATTTAACGCAGTCAGACCAGTGAATGCATTTGCAGAAACGCCAGTCAGCAGGTTCTGATTCAGATTTCTACAGATAGTGTCGTAACCGAGTGAGCCATCTGCAGGTGATTTTACATGTCCTGGCATGCTTACAGAGAAGTCAGCGCAACCAGGCCTGTGAAAGCGTTCGCAGAAACGCTGGTGATCCAGTTCCCATTCAGATATCTACATGTCGTGGTGGCAACAAGTGAGCTGTTTGTGTGTGATCCTTAATGTCTTGGCTTGCTTACAGAACTTTCAGTGCAGTCAGGTCTGCAAATGCATTGGCTGGAACGCTGGTGATCGGGCAGTATTGCAAATCCCTACAGATAGAGTTGTTAACGAGCAAGCCGTTGGTACGAGATTCTTGCCGTCTTTGCTTGCTTACAATTGTGTCAGCGCAGTCAGGCCTGTGAATGCATCGGAGGGAATGCTGGTAAATTTGTTGGAAGACAGACTTCTACAGATTGAATTGCAAACGAGTGAGCGTTTCGGTACGTGCTTTTTCCTATCTTTTTGCTTGCGTACATGAAATACAGCGCAGTCAGGCCTGCGAATAGCGAGGAGGGCATGCTGGTGATCTGGTTGGTGCCCATGTATCTACAGACCGTGTCGCCAACGAATGAGCCGTTTGTATGTGATTCTTTTCGGGTCTTCACTGGCTTACAAGAAGTTCAACGAAGTGAGGCTGGTAAATGCGGTTGCGGGAATGCTGGCGATCCCGTTGCCTTGCATATTCCTACCAGACAGTATGGCAAACGAGTGAGCCGCATTTTGGGTGTGCGGTTGGGCATGTCTTTTGCTGGCTTACAATTGTTTCAGCGCCGTAAGGTCTGTGAATGCAGCGGCATCAATGCTGGAAATGTGGTTGTCTTGCAGAATCCTGGAGATACATGTAGTGAGGCCAATGAGTGAGCCGTTTGCGCGTGAGTCTTCATTGCTTGGCTACTGACAGGACGGTCAACGCAGTCAGGCCGACAAACGCAGAAGCAGAAATGGTGCTGATCTGGTTGTCCTGCAGATACCTAAAAATCGATCGTAATGGCAACAAGCAAGGTCAATTGGCATCTAGTTAACAACTTGACGACGGCAACACTTACAGTATCGTTGTAGTCGCTGGGATTGCGGTTGGAATGTCTGAGAGACCCAGGTTTTGGCAATCGACAAGCGTTTCCGAGCAACTGCATACACCGCCAGTTCCACATGCGTTGGCTGCCTGTGCCAACTGGACGTGATTGACCACGCAGAGCAGCAGCAAAAGCAGCAGAAGCAGCAGACCAAAGGAGGAACGTCCTGTTGGCGCCATCTGTTTGACGATTATGGGTTGTGAGTGGCGAGATATTCACGGTTCAAAACAGTGCGCCAATGTCAACTGTCAACATTTTCAATTCCAAAGCGCTGAAATCCAGTCATGCAATATGACTTGGCGCATTTTTTCCCCAAGCTGTGAGGAGATAGATTGTGTGTGCGTGTCTGTGTGAAGGAGAGAGAGAGAGAGAGAGAGAGAGAGAGAGAGAGAGAGGGGGGGACAGCGTGTGGCTTGGCATGTGGCGAAATGCGGGCCTTTTCTTTTGTTCTTTCCCCACCTCCCAGCTTCTCCACAGTTGCCTGCCCGCCCGCCCGCCCGCCCGCCCTTTCCTTCTGTTTTGAATCCCTTCCACTCGTTTTGTCATGCGTTGACGGACATGTGCGCAGTGTCAATCGCAGAAGCAGCAGAAAAAAAACAGTGGCAAACTGACTGCGGAGGATTTCTGTTTCTGTTTTTGTCTGCCATTCCATTTCATTCTTGACACGACGAGAGCCCCAGCCGCAGTCGCAAGAGAGGGGGGAGGGGGCTTCCACTGTTTGCTCGCTCTGCTCCGTCGCGTCTTCTGCTTGATTCAATATCCAGATTGGTGCAACAGCGCTCAACACGGGATACGCGTGCGTGGGAGGGGAGTTGAGTGAGAGAGTGCGACCCGCACGTGGACCATCATCCACGTCGCCACACGCTCGTGTTTTGTGGTTGCTCATTGCCGCCATGTTCGCAACAGTTGCAGGAGATCAACTTTGCACAAGTTGCAATCTCATTTGACGGAGAGGCGCGAATCGCTCTTGCGGTGGGATTGACGTACTAGTGGTCAAAGCGTGAAAAAGGCAAAAAAACAAAAAAAAAAACAAAAAAAACCAACAAAAAAATCAACAAAAGGAGTGATCGCGCACATTCAGTCTCGATTTGTTCGCAATGTAATTCAGTCTGATAGTGAAGTACCATTTGAGACGAATCAAACTCACGTGCAGCTGAGATGTTCGGGATGTGGTGATTTTTCGTGTCAATGCACTGACGTGGGGAAATCAATGAATAGCGTTTAGTTGCTCGAAACAACAAGACCCGTCGAATTGAACATCAACACAAGCAGACATCAATGTGAAATGCACAAAAAGATTTGGGAATCATGCACGGCCAGGCAGAATCTACAAAGAGGCAGATTCGGGAAGGCTTTCGGACTGCAATAACCAACAGGAACGCTAGTTTTTGAGTTCGGCGTAGTCGACATTCTCAGCCTGCTCGGTCTGCGAGGAGGGTGCGACAGTCACTGCTGCGTAAGGGGTGGGCGAGAACGTGGGCGGCGCACGAGCAGACGATGCGTTAGGCAGCAAAGGATCCGCGTACTCGACGCCGCTACCCGATGCTTGCGCTGTAATGGATGCAACCGCAGATGCTTCGGCATACACCTGTTCCGACGAACCGACAGAAGGAGCCTGGGGCTTTGAGCCGACATCTTCGTACAAGTCGTGCTCTCCAGGAGCAGACACAGCTGCGTATGTGGGATTCGCAACATTGGACGCCCTGTGATCAACAGACTGGTAGGTCGGTTCCGTGCCAGATGCAGATTCGCGTAGTTTGTTGGCCGTGCTAATGGGCACGAAGGCATTAGGTGAGCGACGGCGTCGAAGGGCCACGATCAACGCAACCAGCAAGAGGAGGGCAAACACGCCACCAATCACTCCGCCAATAATCGGTCCAGACGATGCATCACTTGACTCGTTTGGAGCATTGGACGCAGCAGATGCAGCAGATGTCTGCCATGCTGATGATGCACTAGCAGCTGATGCAGACGCCTCAGAGGCAACAGAGGCTGAGGACTCTGTGGCGAGGGAAGCAAAGGACGCCGAGGTCGCGGAAACATCGGAAGCGAGAGATGCGTACGACTCGCTGGAAGCTGATGCAACGGAAGCTAAAGATGCAGCAGCGATGGAAGCGATGGATGCTGAGGTAGCGGAGACTTCCGAAGCAGCAGATTCTGAAGAAGCGCTGGCAGCAGATGCAATGGAAGCAGATGATGCGGTCGCAAGGGAAGCAAAGGATGCCGAGGTAGCAGAAACCTCAGATGCGACAGATTCTGATGAGGCGCTGGCAGCAGATGCAACAGAAGCTGAAACTTCAGTAGCAAGGGAAGCATGGGACGCCGACAGAGCAGAAGCGGCGGACACAAGGGAAGCAATCGACGCAGAGGCGGTAGAGGCAGTCGCATCAGATGCGGCTGAAGCGGAAGAGACGGAAGCGACTTCAGCAGACGCGACGGAAGCGACGGAAGCTGAAGCGGCGGAAGCGAGCGACACGCATGATCCACTCATCGGAACATAACCTTCATAGCACTGAGTGCACACAGCGGATGAAGAGCAGTACAAGCAATTGGTCGCGCAACACGAACTGGACCCAGTAGCATAGCAGGTGGCACAGGCGGTATCACACTCTGCAACACAACTGTCAGCGAAATGTTCTGAAGCGGGAAGCGGGGGGGGGGGCAACGACAGTCATCTCGAACACTTACTGTATGGAGCGGCTACAGTGCCATATGTGCTGGGCGGAGCGACATTGTTGCCATTAAAGGTAAAGTTGTTGGGGTACAGGTATGGGGGGTGTGTCTGCGACAAAGTCAAGCTATTTGGCAAGCCCTTGAACAGACCGGGCGGCAAAGTGGTGAAGCGATTGCCCTCCAAAGGCCTAAGCAAAAGCTCAAAGTAAGAGGCGGACAGGCAGACACATGCACCAAGAGCTCTTGCTTACAGATAAGTCAGCACAGAAAGACCCGTGAATGTGTTTGCAGGTATTTCGGTGATCCTGTTGAGATTCAGATAGCTAGAGATAGAATTTGCAATCGAGTGAGCCATTTGCGTGTGATTTTGCACAGCTTTTGCTTTGCTTTGCTTACATGGTTGTCAACGCTGTCAGCCCTGTGAACGCGTTTGCAGAAATGCTGGTGATCACGTTGAAGTACAGATTCCTACAGATAGTACCAGAATACAGTGAGCCGCTTGTACGTGATACTTCATTAACTTTGAGTTCTTACAGGAAAGTCAACGCAGTCAGGCCAGTGAATGCAGTGGCAGGAATGCTGGTGATCTGGTTGGTTGTCAAATCCCTACCAAAACCAAAGAAAAAATGAACAAAAACAAAACGAGTCGGCCAACGACGTACTCGTGACTCATCCTGTCTTTTGCTGCTTACAATTGTGTCAGCGAAGGTACAGCTGAAAATGCATTGGAGGGAATGCTGGACAACTGGTTGCCGGACATCCCTCTAGAGATATAATCGAGATCGAGTGAGCTGTTCGTACATGATTGTTCCCGTCTTTTGCTGGCTTACATGTAATTCAGCCGAGTCAGGCCTGCAAATGCAGAGGAGGGAAACGCAGTAATGTCGTTGTCGTGCAGATATCTACAGAACGTGTCACCAAGAAGGGGTGAGCTGTTTGTGCGTATTTCTTCAAGCCGCTGCTTTGCTTACAAGTATTGCAACGCAGTGAGAGCTGTGAATGCATTCTCGGAAAAGCTGGTAATCAGGTTGCCATACAGATTCCTACCGATTGAATCGCAAACGAGTGAGACATTTGGATTTGGGCAGCATGGCTTTGGTTTGCTTACAATTGTGCTACCGCAGTCAGACCTGTGAATGCAGAGGCATCAATGCTCGTGATCTGGTTGCTGAACAGAATTCTACAAAGAGAGTCGCGCATACGAGTGAGCCGTTTGCATGTGAGTCGCTTCACCAGTTTGCTCAGCGTACAGGTTTGTGACGCGAGTCAGGCCTGGAAATGCATTTGCAGGAATGCTGGTGATCTTGTTGTTCTGCAGATACCTGTTAAACCGTGTGCTAGTCAGAAACAGATATGCGGGGTTTTTTTTGCTTCGAGCTCAAGCTCATAAAGGCAACACTTACAGCATCGTTGTCGCAACTGGGACTGCGGTTGGAATCTCGGTGAGATTCTTGTTCATGCAATTGACTGTCGTTCCCGACGAGCAATCGCAAACGCCGCCAGTGCCACATGCATTGACTGCCTGTGCCAACTCGATGCGATACATCACGCAGAGCAGCAGCAGAAGCGGCACACCAAAAGCAAGTCCTCTGGTTGCCATCTGTTTGAGAGACGTTGTGCAGAACCAAAAACCAGTGAGCTCTGCAAGTTTTGAAACACAAAAACAAACACTCAGAGTCCTGCGAAAAGTCGGATGTATCTTTGTGAATGGATGGTTCTTCAAAGCAACTTGTCCAGCCATCAGTCATTGGAGAGACAGACAACCCCTCTCCCGGGCGCACATCAAAATACAGCCGCAACTACGCATGTTGTTCGTTCGATCTGCATGTTCTTCTTCTTCTCTTTTTCTCCTCATCCCAACGCGCTTCTTTTGAAACCACTTCCATTCGATTCTTGTTGTTTCTATTGATAGCTCAACAATGCAATGCAATGCATGAACAAAGTCGAAAGTACGTTGTTTTGTGATGGCTTTTGTTTTTTTGTTGTTTGTTTGTTGGGGGTTTGGTTTTTGCGGGTTCCTGTTTGTTGACTTTGAGTAAGGATGGACTCTTTGTGCTGCGGCTTCTTCAGTCAGACTTTCACACTCACTATCTTGCAATGAGCTGTGCTTTGCTGATGTCAGAGTCACAGAGTCACAGAGAGAGAGAGAGAGAGAGAGAGAGAGAGAGAGAGAGAGAGAGAGAGAGAGAGAGAGAGAGAGAGGGCGAAAAAGTGTGTAAGCAAGCGAAAGAATGCAGTAAGCCGTCGTTGTCGTCGGGGTTTTCCTTTTGCTTCTGCGCTCGTTCAGCTTACTCATCACTGTCGCCGCCGATTCGCAAATGCAGCAGATTCTCCAATTCCAACAGAGAAAGCACCGTTCACTGACATTGAAGCAAGCGCGGGGGTTGGTCGCTTCCGTTTGCTGCTGCTGCTGCCTTGAGTCGAATGCATGTTCGATTGTCGGCTGAGCGGTCGGTCGCTCCATTGTGTCCGCCTCCACCTCTCACACGACACTGCCCACGTCCCAAAAACAAAAACAAAAAAGCACCGCGCCGTCCCATCGCTCTCCGCGCTTCTTGAATCAATGCCACTTTGATTCATTGACACGGACGCCCTTCCAGCGAGCGAGCGAGCGATAGAGAGTGACAGGCGACGCACAACAGCAAGCGAAACCACCGAAATCGGGGCATTTTGCCCTTGTTTTAAAAATGTGTTTGTGTTTATTTACACTTGTGCATGTTTGTTTTTAAAACCCGTCGCCCAACTGTAGTCTCTGGAAAAAACCCTCCTCTTCTGGAGTGTCTTCAGCTGGATACGACCAGATGGATGCAACAGGAAGCGCGTCCGAGGATCAGAGGCGGTGGGGAGGGAGGGGGAAAGCAGAGGAAGAGTGTCCGACTGCCCACCTTTGAGCTATTAAACTGCCGACCATTGCGATGCGCGCAGAGCAGATCACGTCGAAAGAGAAAGACAAAGACAGGCATCAAGAGAAAAGAGCGTGGATTTATTCATTTGGTGGTGTTTGGCTTACCGTTGCTGCGTGATGATGGGAGAAGGAGCAAAAAGGGACAGACGGCAAAAGAAAGAGTGCGCTTTTGCCAACCGACGAAAATCGAAAATGGGCGAACCTCTCCAATTCAAACGAAATGCGTGATTGAAGACTCGTGATGAATGCAAAACAAAACAACAGCAAGAAGCGATGAAGAAGCAGCAATGCTCCATCGCTCAATTCGAGGGTTTGGGAGTGCTGAAGCTCCCCCGTTTTACACGTCGGACATGTCTTGCCAATCTCATCTCCATTTCAGTATAATCTCAGCGTCTCCAGATTTCACTATTGTTCACGCATCTGATTTCCATCTCAGTACAAATAAAATCTCAGTTCGTCAGTCTTCCAATTTTCATTCTGCTATCGAAGAGGAACACCCCCAACCCCCATTTCCTTGCATAAGCTGCTCTGATGAATATCTCGGCCTTTGCAGCGTGTCCGGATCCCACGCTGTGCGAGGACCACGCGAACGGGGACGAGAATGTTGGCCTCGCGTTCGGCCTGACGATCGCTGCCGGCATGGCGACGAGTGTGGGCGCGATGGTTCCGTTCCTGCCGTTCATTCGGCACAACGACATGCGATACCTGGCTGCTGGTCTGGGGGCCTCGGCGGGCGTCATGCTCTACGTCTCGTTTGTTGAGATTCTGAGCAAATCAGCAGACTACTTTTGCTGCGTCACGCCAACGCACTTCCGACTCGCCTCCGTGCTCCTGTTCTTTGGCGGCGCGCTCTTCACCGTGCTGCTCCATGTCTGTGTGCACGCCATCCAGCACCTGGACGGGCGATGCTGGCCAGCGCGGCTCTTCCAGCGAATGAGGACGAGAAGAAGGAGCGCTGTCGGCGATTCTGATGACGCTCGTTCTGTTCGCAGCGCAGCCCATGCAGGCGCTGCAGGCGCAGGTGCAGCAACAGACATGCAGCAGCCGCCGAGCCCAGACTCCTGCTTGGTGCTGCCAGCGACGCCAACGGCAGCCCCGTCGACCAGTCCAGCAACTCCGACGCTCGTCTCGTTCGATGCGAATAGTTCGCCGAGTTTCAACTCGTCGTCCGCTGCGGCATTCAACACCATGTCGGGCGCTGCGATGATGATGATGACGACGATGATGCCGCATGCTTCGTCTGCCGGTGGTCGAGCGACGGGCAGTCACGACGAGACGCTGGACAATGCGCGCGCACATCCGCAATTGGAACTGGCCACGTCCTCAGCTGGAGCAAGTCACGGAACACGTCCCATTGGATCCGACTCGAGTGCGAGCATCCCACCAGGATTGTCCTCCAGCTTTGATGCTGCTGCTGGTGGTGCTGGATCAACGGGCGAGGCGCGCTACAGTGCAAGTCGTCCGGGTTCGTGGTCGGATTCGACGCAAGGCACGCTGCATCGCGTCCACCACAACCACCACCACCACCACAACCAGCATCATGACCATCATCAGCAGTCGCAGCATCCTCATCACCGCGATTCATATGCAGAGCAGCAGCACTCTGCCTCGCTGCATCATCATGAAAACAAGCCAAACGCTTCCTCCTCCTCCTCGTCCTCCTCCTCCTCCTCCTCGTCGACTGCATCGACGGTAGGTCGCAGTGTCGGTGTCGATTCAACCAGTAAGCTTGCTTCATTCGACGAAGAGCCAGCCGACAATGTATCGCTGCTCCATCGTCGTACCAAAGCGTCCGAGCCACTGTCGCCGCCGCTGACCAAGCTCGAGCGCAAGATTGCTGCCGCCGCGGCTGATATTCTGAGCAACACCATGCAGATTGATGCCCAAGAGTTGCCAGAAGATGCCCTCTATCGCCATCACAGCCGTGGCGACGGGTATTCTTCGCGTTCGATCGCCACCAGCACCGACTTTGAGCACAACCTCGAGATGGCCAATCCGCTCTACCCGCAGGATGACGAAGACTCGCGGCGACTTCGCAACATGGGCATGATGACGGCGCTCGCCATTGGCATTCACAACTTCCCCGAGGTAAGTGGGTTATTGGGCAAAAATGAGAAAGCGTTGGTACATGGCTGTTTGTTTCGTTGCGCTCGTCGTGCGTGGATTTGGAATGGGTGGTGATGGCACTGACATGGCATGTCTGGTGTTTTGCCTTCTTCTGCTTGCTTGGACCAAAAAAAAAAACCAGGGCCTCGCAACGTTCATTGCTGCGCTCGCCAATCCTTCCCTGGGTGTGACGCTGTGCGTGGCAATCGCGCTGCACAACATTCCCGAGGGTGTTGCGGTGGCCTTGCCCGTGTACTATGCGACCCGCAGCCGGAAGAAGGCCTTCATGTGGGCGTTCCTGTCAGGAGTGTCGGAGCCGATCGGCGCGCTGCTCGGCTGGCTGGTGTTGAAGGATGCGATGGGACCCGCAGTGTACGGCGTCATGTTTGGCATGGTTGCTGGCATGATGGTGTACGTGTGCATCCGGGAACTGTTGCCCACCGCCCTTCGCTACGACGCGCAAGATCGCTTTGTGACTGCCTGCTTCATGGGCGGTGCGTTTGCCATGGCGATGAGTCTGGTTTTGTTCCTGTACTGATGTGCATTCCAGCGGCCAGTGTGTTTTTTGCTGAGTGCCTGTGAGTATGGTGAGATTGTTGTTGTGCCTGCGTTTTTTTAGGCTTTATCAGAGGTTTTGGCTTTTCTTGTCCCGCTCCCTCCCATCTATTTTATTTCATCCATTCCATGCTCATCAGCACATGTCCCCGAAAGCAGCACTGCGGCGTAGACCTGGAGTTTGAGCGAGTCACTTTTTGGGTTGCATTTTTCGTTTTTCCAAAGGATTTCAGCATTTCGGTGTGCTTGTACTTTCATCTGTTCCACTTCTCCAGTCATTGCATACAGTATCCCTTTTTGTTCACTCAGCACACTCGGCGCACACTACTCTCTCCGGTTCACTCGAATTCAGCTATTTTCCAAGGACTTCAGCATTTGGTTTGTCTTCTTGTCCCATTCATTCCCGCTCGCCTCGTTTATTTCATCTGTTCCACCTCTCCAGTCATTGCATGTCCCCGATTGTTCACTAAGCACACTCGGCACAAACTGCTCCGGTTCACTCAAACTTCGTTATTGCCAGCTTTTCCCTGCTTTTTTCTTCCCCCCTTTTTCTTTTCCCCTTCTCCGCGTCGCTCCTTCTTTTTTGATTCTCGTCATTCTCTTTCATTCTCAGCTTTCATCTTTTTCATCTTTTTCATCTTTTTTTGACTTTCACTTCATTGTTCATTTTTTTTTTGTGTGCGTCACAAAAGCCGGTATTTTTTTTTTTTTTTTTTTTCCTACCGTTTTTTTTTTCTTTTCTTTTCTTTTCTTTTCTTTTTTCTTTTCGTTTCGTTTTTCTCAATGCAGCACTCACTCGTTGAAGCGATGCTGAGCACTCACAAACACGCATCACTCGCACTTCCATCCCCCTTGCTGAACATGAACATTGGAATCCCACAAAAACCAAAAAATGAAAAAAAAAAAAGCGCTGAGAGAGCGAAGTGTGGCAGTTTTTGCCGCCAAAAAAAAAAAAAAAAAAAAAAATCAAAAAAATTCAAAAAAACCCACCTTCCTCCTCCTTGTCAGTCTCCTTGTCAGTCTCTCTCTCTCTCTCTGTGCTCTGTGCTCTGATGAAGTCCCCCCCCCTCTCCTCCGTTGTGCTGTCGTCGCTCGCTCTCTCTCGTTCCTTCTGCGCTTCAAAGAGCAGCCGAGTGTGAGAATTTTCTTTTCAGCCAGTCATCATCATCCCGCCTTTCCTCTCTCTCTCTCTCTTTCTCTTGCTTCACAGCACTCCTCCTCGAACGCGGGGGTGTGACTTCGAACTCATCCTACAAGCACTCTCTTCTTCTTCTTCTCTCTTCTCTTCTCTCTTCTTCGTCATTTTCATCCATTCAGTTTCAAAAAAAAATGCGTTTTGAAAAAAAAAAAAAAAAAAAAAAAAAAAGAGCGATCGCAGTTTCAGCAAACGTTCCTTTCGTTCTTTGACTCTGACTCTCTCTACTCTACTCTGACTCTGACTCTCTACTCTGACTCTCACTCTCTACTCGTAACTCAATATAAAACGCTTCATTCTCGCTGTTCGACTCTCACTCTTCTCGTTCTCTTTTTCCATGTGTGATTCATCACTTTGTTGTGGATTTCTGCTCTACTACGTCACACTCATCCTCATCTCACTTTCACTCATCTCACTTTCACTCTCTTTTTGTTGCAGACCAAGTAACAAATGCCCAACTTTAGCATCTTCAAGGAGCCCCGCGGCTTCATCCGCATCATCCAACTGGTAACAAGTGCACACTCATTCGTCACGACAAACAAAACGGCACATCCACTCATCATCATCACTCATCGTCACTCACTCCAATCCCTTTATTGTTGTTACTGTTGAACAGATCTTTGCCATCATTGCATTCGCCGCGGCGGCGAGCGAGGAGTGCGGCGCAAAGTTCAGCGACTTTGGCAGCGGCAAGGAGAAGGATCGCTTCGCCTTTTTCATTGCAACGGGTGTCATTGCCTTCCTCTTTGACCTCGCCATCCTCGTCGTCTATGCCTTCCTGCTCGAGTCGCTTCCCCCGGTTACCGTCATGGCTGTACGTTTCGGTTTGTTTGAACGTTCGAAAACACAATGTATCGATTCTCATTCCCTCTTCACTCTTTTTCTCTCGCATCAGGAGCTCGGTTTCACCGCCCTCTGGTCCTTCTTCTGGCTGCTCGCATCGTCCCTGCTTGCTGACACCGTGAAGGACATTTCCGACATTCCCGGATGCGAGCCCTCGTCGTGGCAAGCGGCTGTCGTGTTTGGCTTTATCAACCTGATCTGCTGGGTGGCCAACATCTACTACCTGTTCAAGGAGACTAAGGCTGCCCCGCCGGTGACCAACCCTGCCGACAGCGGCCCGGCTGCAGTGTAAAACCCAAACACAGACACAAAACGGAATAAACAAAGATTCAGTTCCAAACCAACATCTTCCACAATGTCAACGCTCTTGCGCATGTTCTTTTTTTTTCTCTCGTTATTGTCTTTTTTGTTCTTGTTGTTTGGTTTGTGCGCACGTTTGCCTGTGCACTTTGTCTGCATTCGATTCCAAATCATGTCAGTTCCTGTCACCCCTCTGATGCCTCCCCCCTTCCACTTTCCCCCATTTATGATGTTTTTTGAATGTTAAACCCTACAACTCTTAGTTTCCCATCCCATCTCAGATCGTCAGTCCTCTTCCTCTTCTTCTTCTTCCAATTCCAAAGCAAAATGAAGTTTAGCTTTGTGGCTTTGGTTGCGGTTGTCGCTGTGCTGTCGTCTTCGGCGGCGACTGCGCATCCCGTCCAAGCGACTGAGGTGCCGACGCAGATCCGTCTTGCGTTTGCTGGCGTCGGAGGCAAGTCTCGTGTATCTGGGGGGAAGGCGCTTTGACTCGTGATGGAGCTCGATAGAGAGAGAATGAAGAAGCAAGACCCGAAGCACTCTCTCTTTCTCTCTCTTTGCACACTTCCACTCTTATTCACAGCACACACACACACACTTGCTCGTTGTTTATGACGAGGGCCTGCACACTTACGCAGTCACAGAGTGAGAGAGTGGCAGAGTGGGAGTGATGTGCCCCCCTTTGTCTCCCACTCCCCTTCTCCCTCGCTCCCCTTCTCTCTCCTTCTCGCTCTATCCTTCTCCCTCTCGCTCTCGCTCTGATTTTTTTTCCTTTTCATCTTTCGTCTTCCATGCTTCATCAAACAGCACAACATTCAAATGCAAAAGCAATCGCTTTTTCTTCCCAATTTTTTCAAGCGTGTCACATTGCAATATTAGTTTTCAACCAGCGATAAAAACTGCTGTCAAACAAGCATGTTTGTTGTAATGCTTTGCGATTGAAAAAAAACCACGCTTCAAAAGAACTTCAACAAGACGACATTGAAAACAAAAGTGACATCATTGAAGGAAAAAAGTGAAGGAAAAAAGTCAAAAGCAAAAGCAAAAGCAAAAGAAAAAGAAAAAGAAAAAGAAAAAGGCGAAAGTTCGCTTCGCGGTTTTGAGGTTTTTTTTCATTATCGATTATTTTATTATTTTGTTCTTTTCTTTTCTGTTTTTATTCTGCTTTTTCAACGAAACTGAAAACAAAAACTCGGCGTCCAAAGAAAGAAACTCAGATCGAATCATAATAAAAAAAAAAGTTCAAAGTGAACGAGATTCAAAGTTGAAAGTTGAAAGTGAAAAAACAAAAGAGTTGAAAAAGCTTCAAACGCACATGCTTGAATTTGCCAAAGCAGACCAATGAGCGCGCTTTGTACTGCCACGATCCCACTCAAATCACTCACTCAGTCAATGAAGCACGCAATGACTGAAATTGGATGGTTGAAAAACTCGTGCGAATATCAACAAAATACTTGTTTGTGCTCAGATTGCTCAGATTTCTCAGATTTGCAGCATTCCTTCGTTTGTGTCTCACTATTTTGATTTTATTCTTGCATTGACTTTTTTTATCATACAATAGGCATGACCGTCTCGTGGTACACGGCAAACCAGCCCACTGCAACCCCGTACGTCACGTACGGAACGAGCCCCGTTGCCCTCACCTCGCAAGCTCAAGGCTCATTCACCACCTACGGCACTGGTAACTAGGCTACGCTACTACAACTAGCTCAACAATCTCAGAACAATTACAAAACAAACATTGTGTCTGACATCCCTTTTCCCCCCCCCCCGCCCTCCCTCCACCAGGCTTCTTCAGCAACGTCGTCATCACTGGCCTCGCTCCCAAGACCGTCTACTCGTACCAGATTGTCGGTGACATGCAAATCCGCAACTTTACCACTGCCCCGCTGCCCGGCGACACGACCCCGTTCACCGTCGGCATTGTCGGCGATGTCGGCATCGTCCACAGCCCCAACACGATTTCTGGTCTTGCTGCCCATGCCGTCGACACCAACTTTTACTGGCTGATTGGAGGTAAACAACGCCTCTCAGCTTGTGGCAATGTTCGTTGTTCGCGAAGAGAGAAGCACTCCGTGTTAACCTCTTCTGTTTTTTGTTCTTTTGCTGTTGTTGCTCTGTTGCAGATCTCTCGTACGCTGATGACTGGATCCTGCGCCCCATGTCCGACTACGAGGGCTCGTGGAACAAGTGGCAAAACATGATGATGCCCATGACCGCCAACCTCGCCACCATGGTGCTCAGCGGCAACCACGACGTCACCTGCTCCGAGGCCACCCCGTTCATTTGCCCCGAGCACACCCGCAACTTTACGGCCTACCTGCACCGCTTCCGCATGCCCTTCGCTGAGTCTGGCGGCATCAACAACCTGTGGTACAGCTTTGACTACGGCATGGTCCACTTTGTCTCCATCAGCACCGAGACGGACTTCCCTGGCGCGCCCGAGGGCCCTGGCTCTTACATGAACGCTGGCGGCTTTGGCAACCAACTCGAGTGGCTCGAGCAGGATCTGGCCCGCGCTCACGCCAACCGTGCCAATGTCCCGTGGATTATCGTCGGCGGTGAGGGGCTGTTGAAGAATGTCGTGTTTGGTTTGAGCTGTGGTTTTTGGTGTTGCTGTTGTTGTTGTTGTTGTTGTTGTTGTTGTTGTTGTTGTTGTTGTTGTTGTTGTTGTTGTTGTTGTTGTTGTTGTTGTTGTTGCTAGAGTAGTGGTGGTGATGGTCCTTGGACATGGCACTCATTGTGGTACACGTGTTATTCTTGATTTTGGGATGGCCATCTCCAGGTCACCGCCCCTTCTACTCTGCTGGTGATGCTTGCGAGGCCTGCCGCAAGTCGTTCGAGCCCCTGTTCCTCAAGTACAAGGTTGACATGTTCCAGACTGGCCATGTCCATGCCTACGAGCGTCTCTACCCCATGGCCAACAACACGATCGTGTCCACCAACTACATCAACCCCCCGGCCCCTGTTCCGATTGTCATTGGCTGTGGTGGCAACGTTGAAGGCCACCAGGCAATCACCAAGAAGAACTTTGATGTCGTGATCAACGATACCGACTACGGCTACGGTAAAACGAAAACTGTTGTGTCTTTGCTTTTGACAATCCCTGCAGCTGTGACTGTTTGCTGATTAGTTTTCATTTTGTTTTTTCCTTGGTCTTTCTTCTTTCCTCAGGTCGTCTGACTGTTTACAATGCCACAACTATGCATTGGGCGTTCTACAAGGCCGATGATGGCAGCATCCTTGATGAAGTTACCGTCGTCAAGACTCAATAAGTTTTTTTTTTTGTTCTTCCCTCCTTACTGTGCAGTTACTCTATGTTTTTTTCCCTCTTGCTCTTTTGTTTTTCCCACATTCTGCCACACTCTCTCTGGACCGTGCGCGAATTTGGGACGCCGTGTGTTGTCGAACTTGTCGACAAACGTGCCGAGCAGTATTATTCATGTCTTTATCGCTTCTTCCTGCTTGTTCTGTGCGTCAGTTCTCGGCATGTCCAGCGTGGCAACCGCCACTGATGATTGCAAATACAATGTTTCAAAGGTTTAGACATCCAACTGATTTTCAAGAACAGAGACACAAAAACAAACCGTCACGAAGGACTGACAAAAACACAAGCGACACGAGAAAACAAAACGTAAAGAACAGCTGCATGCAGAAACATAACAAGTGCATGCCGAAACATGACCAAAAAAAAAACAAAGAAAGCACGCCGCTCAAATCCTTCACCAGTCATCGTCATCTTCAGCTCCGTCATCATCCGGGGGCACCTCGTACGTGGCACCTTCATCCTCGTCGTCATCGCGGGGCTGTTCGTACATCGGGGCACCGTCGTCGTCGTCATCGTCATCGTCTGGCGGGAGCTCATAGGGCCGCGGTTCGTCCACATCCGAGTACTCGGCCTGTGCGTTGACAATGGGATACATGGTCACAGGGGGCTTGTAGCCAGGAGGAGGGTTGCCGTGAATGTCGGTGACGTAGGTTGATGGGAAGACGCCGACTTTCATCGATTTGCCAATGATGCGACCCTTCCACCACCCAGAGTCCTCCATTTCGTGCACCTCGATGGAATCTCCGATCGACAGCTCAAGTTCGTCCGGGTGCTTGGCCTGGTACGAATACAGCGCCTGAACAACCGGCTTCTGGTCTTTTGACCCAATGCCTGCATCTGCAGACGTCTGTCCCAATTTTGCAGCTGCTCGGAGAGCGGCTGTGCCAGCAAGCGGCTTAGATGAGTCTGTTCCTGGTGCCTTGCCAGTTCCAGGCCTCGGCGCAACCCCAGGACCGGCTGTGCCGATTGGCTTTGGAGCGACGCCAGGGCCAGCAGAGCCGATCGGCTTGGGCGCCCCGGGACCAGCGGGCTTTGGTGCCGCGGGACCGGATGGCTTTGGTGCCGCGGGACCAGCGGGCTTTGGTACCGCGGGACCAGAGGGCTTCGGTGCAGCGCCAGGACCAGCGGGCTTTGGTGCTACGGGTGCAGGCGCTACCGGGTTCACTGGTGACGATGGCAACTTACGCTCGGGAACGGCTGGTTCGTGAACGCCTGGAGGAAGCGGTGCCGTGAATGGCACGGGAACCTTGGTCTGCCCAGTCGAAACGGGCGCTCGAGGGGCTGAAATGCTTGGTTGTGGAGCAGGAGCAAGCCGCCTGGGGACGGTGGCCTTGAGTGAAAAGTCGAGCTGAGTAAAGTGTTGCGCGAGCGACTCCCGCAAGTAGTACGCAATCAAGTCTTGCACAGATGGGAAGACTTTGGTGTCCGCCAAGCAAAATCCCGCGCCATCCGGACCAGGCTTGATGCGGACGTGCTTGAGGCCAGCCGCAGTGTTCAAGGACAGAGTGCACCCTGTACCTGTTTCCGATTGCCGCACCAAAAATGTACCAGGCGTTTCGTTCACCAGCAAATCGTGCGTCTGTACCTTGGAAATCGGTCCGTGGAACCAGCTATAGCCCTCCAAGTCGCTCGAGGACGTTGGCGACGTTGCCGTGGGGCGAGGTGGTTGAGGAGCAGGAACGGGTTCTGGTGCCGGAAACCGCCTGGAACGCACGACATCCACAACAACATCAAACAAACAAACAACGCAACCAGAAGAGTGAGACACAAAAAACACACGCAACAACAAAAAAAAACAGATGGACTCACGTTGAACCAGTTGGCTTGATTGGTGCAGGTTGAACAAGGACGGCAGGAAAGTATCCTTGACGGCCGCGGACAGAGCCAAGCCACCAATCTTCAGTGGTGCGCTCCAGCAACATGACCGTGTCGCCAACAGCAAAGTCGAGCTCGTCATCGTTGCTGGCGGCAAAATTCTCGACGGCAACAAAGGCGTCACCCGACTCGCCCTCGGGAGCAGCAACTGGCTGAACTTGGGGTTGCACCGGCTGGTTCGCTGGGGGCGGCTGATAGGGAGCCACTGGCGGGGGGAACAGGCCGGTGACGTTTGGACGGGGTTTGACAGCCGGACCAGGACGCGGCGACAGATCGGCAGTGGGGCCGTTTGGATCAGTGACGGCCGCCCCGCCCGTTGCTTTGCCCACCGTGCCTCCTCCTTTGACCTTGAGCCACGTGCGGGCCTTGGCAGTGAGGCTTCCGCCCTTGATGTCGGCGCCGTCCAGATTGTTGGCGTGCGTAAGGTGCTGGCGCGTCTCGGAGCAGTAAGGGTGGATCAAACCGATGCACTTGAGGTGAATGTCCACCATGCACACTTGACAGCGCAAGCCTTCGCCCCAAATGTAGGCATGGCAGTAGAGGCAGCTCGCCTTGGGCATTTGCTTGTGGCGCTTGTACATGTGCTTTGATCCCTTGTGGATGCCTTGCGAGCTAGCCGCGTTCTCCAGCTCGGTCAGGTCATTCACAATCTTTTTGAGGACAGACAGCCACACACGCTTGGTCTCCTGCGTCTTGGCCATGAAGAGACAGTTCTGGGAATTGTCGGCCGTCTTGAACGACCAGGCATGAATCGGCAGACCCGGCACGGCGGCCACGTCTTCCAGCGTGCCGCCAACCAGGTTGAATGTCTTTTTAAACCGGTACTTGCTCGGCGAGATGATGCTGCATACAATGAGCGCCGTCTCAAACAAAAAGATGTAGCGTTGCTTGGGCTTGCTGTCGTCCTTGGTGCGGATTTCCAGATCGCCGTCGCGCAAGAGTTTTCCGTAGCTGATGAGTGGACCCTGTTGGAGAGAGCGAAGAAATACGAAACGAGTCAGGGAAATTTCCCGTCGGCAAGCCATCAGTTAGTCTCCGCAACACCAACTGCACATTGGAAAACTGTCAAACACTGGCCCGCCGATTCGTCTTACCGTGTCGCCCTCAATCCTGGAAAAAGCGCGGCACGGAACGAAATTGGAAACAATCACAGCACAAACCAAGCAAGAACGGAGGTTAGAACGCAGATGCAGACACAAACGGGGCCCCTCAATTGCCAGAGTCATCATGCAGGTATGTGTTCTTCTTTTTTTTCTGTTCTGTACATGTCTGTCAGGTTGGCAGCGAGCGCCAAGTACTCTTTATCACGCTTGGTATCGTTGATGAACGTCGCCACACTCTCCATCGCCGTCATGGCTGCGGTAATGTTGTCAGAATCGGGATGAGACTCTGGCGTGCACTTCCGAAGCTCCTGCATGGTGTTTGAGGGATTGGAAAACCAAACCAAACCAAACCGAAAAAAAAAAAAAGCAGCAGTTAGCGCACAGATAGGAAAACAAAATTTCACAAAGGCGCCCTCAAAGCAAGGAAAAACTCGCTTCGTACCTTCAGAAGCAAGGGATACTTGAGAATACGTTGCATCGGAATGTTGAGCAAGTCGCCCAAGCGGAACTTTTGCTGAGACTGCTCTTGGATGGCCAGCATTCGATTGACAAATTCCGGTCGCAGCTGGAGCTCTTGCAGCAGGTTCATGGCATCGGGAAGGTTGGCGCAGTACTCGCCATAGGCCATCAGCTGCTGGCTATGGTCGACGAGCGCTTTGGCAATGTCGTTGCCTTGGTTGTCTTCGATCGAGCTGATGAGCGCTTCCATGATGTCTGTGTGCACTTGGAGCAGCTGCTTCAGGTTGCAAAACAGGGTGGAGACAGTCTGGGCGTCGAGAAAGCTGACCAGCGGCTTGTAAAAAAAGTCTTCAATCATGTCGAGCGACGCGACGAAATACGCCTCGGTGCTCATCAGCTCGTTGATAATGTGCGAGCGCTTGCCCGTGTCGGGCAGGACCGGGATGGCGTCTCGCTGAGCATGCGAGATGGTGGAAAGCCGGGCAGTGTGCTTGGCTGCCTGCTGCGCCTTGTTGGTGGGCTGCTGGCGGCGGACGGTCGTGCCACGCGCACGCTGCAAGTCTTGCATGCCCTGGTACACATCGTCGATATCCGATGGCGTCGTGTAGTCGTCCATCAGGCCGGGGATGGACTGCGGGCCCGCCTGCGCCCTGTTGGACTTGGCCTGCGCAGTGTCGAGCATGTCTGGCAGCGTTCCGTACAAGTCTTCCGCGGGAGTCACAGGCCGTGCCGCAGTGGGCCGGCGCGCCGCAGCGTTTCCTTGCGTACCGCCCGTTGCCGCAGATGGCAGAATGCCCAGCAGCCCTGCCTGCGCCGAGAATGGCGTTTTGGAGAGCTTGTCGAGCGTCGTGATGATTTTGCCAAAGTTGCTGCCATAGTACAAGTCCTCCGTCGCGAACAACTCGGCGCGCTTCAACCCGAACGTCTTGACGCATGCATCGAGGAAGTTGGCAATGTTTTCATAGCACAGGAACTGTTTGAGAAGAGCAAGATGTGGGAAAGCGGTTGAGCGCGGCGTTTTCAAAAGTGTGCAACCAAACGTAGTTAGCAGGCGGCTCGTCCAGCGTGATTGATTGTTTTGCAACTGTTGTCTTGTTCTTGGAGCTCTCTTCTTGATATCCAAAGTCACGTCAAGTGATGGGTTACCTGCAATCTGGGCTGGCGATGCACTTTGCTCACAGATCCAGCGAGAATCCGGTTTGAGAGTGCGCAGAGCACGGTGCCGTCCTTGAGTGCGACTGCGAGGTCGACGAGCTCGGCATTGCCACTGCCAACACATAAACAGGAACGAGCGAGGGGGAGAGTGAGAACAACAAGCAAAAAAACAGAAAAACAACATAGTCAATAAAAAGGTAGCATTTGACGTGCCAAATAGTGACCCAAGCGTATGTGAGAAAAGCCTTTTTTTGTCGCTAATGCTACTGAAGCGTCATGAGCAAGGATTTCAAGCCTTCCGCTCGTCGTTTGAGCGGTTCCTAACCCCCCCCCCCCCAAATCTGCCAATGCTCGCTCATTGAAGATCACTCTCCACTTTCAGTGTCGAGGGGTCAGGGGTCAAGGGTCAAGGGTCAGAGCGCGTCACTTGTGCTAAAAGCCAGTCGAACTGGTCGACCATCTCCCCGCCCAAGTCGCCGTCGCTTCAACACCAAGCTAGCATCAAGGATTGCTAGTTCCGTGCCAACCCCCGGGCTGAGGTCGCGTGGAAGTGGGGAGGGGGGGGGGCGAGTCCTCAACCATATGAAGATTGAACAACCAGAGCGAGCTGTTTTACGTCACATAGAACGACCGCCCCCCCCCCCCAATGGACCATTTGAACGGGGGATGAAAGTGCTGTTTTATGATCGACTCAACTTGTTGCAGGATGAGTTGGACGGAAGCGCGCCGGCACGCACGAGCCAGTCGCGAACGAGCTTCCAATCGTCCGCCATACAAAGAAAAAAAAAAAACAATAATAACTGAACAACAAAGAAAGAACGAAACCAATATGGAACACAATTGAATACAAGTTGAATGCAAGTTGAATACAAGTTGAATGCAAGTTGAAATGATGAAATGGTTAGAGAGCAGACAGCAGCTCAGAGACAGAGCAAAAGCAATTCTGAGAAAGCAGAGAACTTCGCTGCCCTTGGCGAGATCCGCCCGAATAAAAGCCCAGTGCGGTCGAGCTGGTAGTGCCAACGCACTTGTCATGGTACGTCCGAGATTGACGAGGCGCAGGACGCGGTAAGCAGGGTGGAAATTGTTGTCGGCGTTGATTCAATTTCCCGCCAAGTTTTAGCGTTGCTTTGCCGAGTCAACCATCTCCCATGTTCGTTCGCGCTCCGTTCGTAATTCCAAGGCTCTGAGAATGAAACAAACAAATCTCAGGTGTAGATTGTTGATCGAGAGCTCTGCTGCCTCGCTCGAACCTCGCATTGCCTGGCAACCAAATCCACCAACCAACCAGAAAGTCTTGGATTTTTTTCAATCCTCAACGTCAATCACACATTCAGGCATGAAATAATTCCTGCCAAAGTATCCCAGCCTAAGCCGCAAAGAGCAATAAGAGCAATAGCTCAACAGCGGGTGAGGTGGATGAATAATTTTACAAAGCTCGATTTTCAACGTTGGAACAAAAACCCAATTCGGTCGGTCGACTGCTCGGCCTCTCTTCTCTTTGTATGTCCGACATCCATCCGCATCCGATCGCCTATCCGATAGAGTTGACAGTTCTGTAGCCGATTGCGACAAGAAGGGGAGGGGTTGCAATGGACAGAAGGGGAGATACAGGCGTGCAAAGTTGCGGAAGGGAAGCGGGTTGACGAGCGATTGATTTTTTTTTTCGTGGCCGTCGTTGTGCAATGGCGTTTCGCGACCGTCTGCGCCCTCGCCCCGTCGTTCTTCCGCCCCTGTTCCGTGGGCGCCATGCTACACGACGTGCTACGCGTCTCCCGTGCGTCGCAGGACCAGCAGCAACGGGCTCGTTTGTTCTGTGCAAGAGCGAGACAGCGAATTTTTGCTCTTTTTTTTTTTTTTTTTTTTCATCTCGTTTTTCTGCGCTCTGCTTTCTTGCTGTCCGGCGCCCAGCCCACCCGTCTGAGTGATCGTTCCGCGCCATCGCTCTCCTTCCTTTGTTCATGAGTCGTGGGGGAACGGCCTGCAGCAGAGCAATCGAACGGCCCTTTTTTTTTTTTTTTTTTTTTCCTCTTCCTTACCCTTTGTGCTCTTCTTCGTCTCACTTGTTCCCCGCCTTTTCTCAACCTCTCTCGCAGCGCCCAGCAATGTTGATCTCCAAGAAGAACCGCCGCGCGGTCTACGAGTACATTTTCAACGAGGGTGTTGCCGTCGCCAAGAAGGACTACCACCTTCCCCAGCACGACGTCCTGACCACCGTCCCCAACCTTGAGGTCATCAAGGCCCTCCAGTCGCTCCGATCGCGTGGCTTTGTCACCGAGAAGTTCTGCTGGCGCCACTTCTACTACTACCTGACCGACTCTGGCGTCGCTTACCTCCGTGACTACCTCAACGTCCCCGCTGAGGTCGTCCCCGCCACCCAGAAGAAGGTTGCCCCCCGCCCCGCCTCGCGCTTCGGTGCCCAGGCCCCCGGCTCCCGCCCACCCCGCGACGGTGAGCGCTCCGAGCGTGGCGAGTACCGCCGCACCGGTGCTGGCTTCGGCGGCGACAAGGCTGGCGCTGACTCTGGCTTCAACCCCGAATTCGTACGTATTTTTCCGAGTGTGTTGGGTGTGTTGGTTGTTATTGTGTGGCGTTGGAGAAGGGACGTGAAGAGAGTGCTTGTTGTTATCTGCGATCATTCCTGTTTTTTATTCTCACTTTTTTTTTTTTGGTTTTTTTTGCTCCTTCTTTCAATGAACAGCGTGGCGGATTCGGCCGTGGCCGTGGCGGTGCTCCCCGTGCTACTCCCTCTGCCCAGTAAAATGTCTCTTTGTCCCGTTTAAGAGCCAAATCGTGTGTGTTTCCGCGAGTTGCTTCCGTGCCCCCCTGATTGTCCCAAATTAGAAACACGTTCTGAAAGCGAACTCTTTCATTGTTGTCCACTCCATTTTTGTTCATTGATTGTCCTTTTGAGCAAGTTTCAGTGCGCGTGGAGCTGGGCGTTGGAGCACTGACAATATTCGTATTTGATGGATGAATCGAAACCGCCCAGACGCAAGCAACCACCACGGGAACACTCTGAACACAATCCCGTTCACTTGAAATAAAAATTTAATGATAAGCACCAAAAAAAACCCCCCCCCCCACTCAAACAAACAACTCGGAATAAATGAAGTACAAAAACAAAACAAAAACAAAAAAAGTTGCGCCCAAACATTACATGCTCTTCTCCTCGCCAAAGACATCATCGCCATACTTTGAGTTGAACAGGGAGCGACAGCGGATGCTGGACTCGTAGAGACCAAGAACATCCTGGATGGGGTCGCCCTCCATGCTCCAGCCGACCTTGTCCTGCGAGACTTGCAGGGACAGGCGTCCGTAGCTCACGTCGTTCAGCTTGTAGTACAGCAGGTCCTGCATGTTGAAGAACTTGTACACGTAGAACTTGCGGCTGTCGGGATTGACGCGCCAGAACGGCGCATAGCCACCAGCCTCGCGTGCGATGGCGAGGGGGTCAATCTCCAGACCCGCGCCGTGCTCGTGGCCGCCAATGTTGAGGTGGAACACTGGGGTCTTGCAGCCCTTGCGGTGTCGGAAGGTCGTGCCGACGCGGGAGATGGTGTTGGGACGGCGGGCGCGCGCAGAAGACGACCCTTCCGGCTCTGCTTGCGCCTGTTGCTCGGGCTCGTCCTTCTTGCGACGGAAGAGCTTGCCAAACCAGCTGCTGCTGCTGCTGCTCTCCTTGTCCTTTGCTCCTTTGCTCGCTGCATCCGCTGCCGCCGCTGTGGTGAGTGCGGGCGCAGCGGGCGCTTCGGCAGCGGCGGCAGCTGCCTCCATGGCCTCAATCTCCTTGGGGTCGAGCGACATGCGCAAGGTTTTGCGCAGGCTTCCAAAGCCGACTTTGATGCGGCTGGATCGCTTGTCGCGCATGCTTCCGCCTTTGCTGGCGGCGCCGTTCAAGCCAGAGTTGGCGAGGAAGGCCTCAAACTCGGCATCGTCGTCCGTCTTGGCCGAAGTAGAAGTAGTCGCAGAAGCAGAAGCAGAAGCAGGAGTAGAAGCGCTCGACTCGGGGGGTGGAGGGGTGGTGATGATGGAGGGCTGGCTTCCTGGAGCGCCAAAAAATGGAATGCCCGGTCGTGAAGAGGAGGACGACGAGCCGTTAACGGTGACGGTGCGCTGTGCAGCAGCCACCAGAGTGCCGCCGGAAGCTCCACCCGACTGCGGCATGATTAAATCCTCTTCCGTGTCTGTGGCCCAAAATCCGAACGTGGCAATCAGCACGTCCTTGGAGATGGCAATGCCTTGCCCCATGCGGCCGAGCTCGTAGTCGCTCTGGTTTTGGTAGCAGTTCCAGATGGGACCGCCGCCAAATGCGCCGTCGGGCTGCGAAACAATCACCTGGGGAATCTCGGAAAAGTACCGCGCCCCTTGCACACGCTTCCACAGCGCCGGGTCGGTTCGCGACAGGTGATCAAAGAACCAGGTGCGATCGTACGACTCAATCAGATGGAAGCGCGTTTTCGGGGAGGCCGCGAGAAACCCGTTGGGGACGTAGCCGGGCTCCACGGCGCCGTGCGTGTACACAAAGTAATTGATCTCGTTGGCCGATTTGATGCCGAGGAAGAGGAGGTCGGGAAATGTTTCTGCGATGCGGTAGAAAATGTGCTGGAAAATCTTGGGGCTGAGGCGCAGTTTGAGCGGGCACTCGTCGTGCCGGAACTCGTTCTCGGCGCCATACTCGTGGTTGGCTTTGAGGACAAACACTTGATTCGGGTTGCGAATCAGCAGGTACAGGACAGCAAGCCAGACTTCGACGCCGAAAAAGCCGCGGTCGGCCAAGTCGCCCGTCAGCACCACGCAGACGTCCGGGCTGAGTAGCCGCCATTGGTCATCGAGCAGCCGCTGGTCGGCAAGGCCTGCCAAAAAGTTGAGAAGCGCGCCAAAACAGCCGTGAATGTCGCCCAGATTGAGCACGTGCACGCACCGGTCGGACTTGACCTGGTTGAAAATTTCTTTCTGGGCGAAGGAATTGGGCGAGCGAGCCGGCCGCCGTCCGTCGTGCCAGAGGGTTCGCGTGTGGAATAGCTTGCGTTGCTGCCGCAGGTAGACGCAAACTGCTCGTCCAAACTCCTTCGGGTCAATCATGTAGCGGTCCATGTTCATGTGGGCATTGCGCTGCTCGCGGAAGCCGCCGCTGCCCGTTCGCTCTGTGGTTCGGAAGCCGTACATGAATAGAGTGTCGTAAAAGTCGTGCATGTGGCCAGAGAATTTGTGCGTCTCATTCAGAAACGTCCAGTATTCGGGATAGATGCTCTGGAAGCGGGATTGCATTTCAGACAGCGTGTACCGAGGCTTAAAGCCGTCGGCGGTGTTGGCAGAATGCACGCCAATGGTGGCAAAGATGGTGCTAGTGAGACTGTTGACGCTGCTGCGCGAATTGTGCCGCCGACCGACGGTGGACGTTGCCGCGGCGGTGGCGGGTGCCAAAAAGCCCGAGGACGAAGGCGGAGTGGCTTCCGAGGCGCTAACGGCGCTCGCAAGCGAGCTGTGCGACGAGGTGGTGGAATCCCGCCCCAACGGGTAGTTGAGGTCGCTGTACATGCTCGCGCGTGCACTCGGCGCGTTGCTATTGCTGGTGCTACTACCGTTGCTGCCATTGCTGGCAATGCTCGTGAAGGACGCCGAGAGGCCTGGTTGCTGCCCAGCAAAGGTGGCCAACATGCTGGCCTCCGCGTTTTCCGAGATGGGTGGCGTGGCGTCCGACTTTTGGGAAAAGTCGGTGAGGTATTCCACGGCCTTTTGCACGTCCGTCCAGTACGCATCCCAGTTTGGTTGCGCGTCTGCTAACATTTTGTGGAACTCGGGCAGTCCGTACAGCTCGCGATCGCTCTTGAAGCGCTTTTCACGCTCTGCCTCGCGCGCCTTCTCTCGTTGGTGCCACTCTAGGATGCGCTGCTGCTCGAGCGCTGCGTAGGACATTTGTGCAGCTTGTGGTGGTGCTGCGTCGACAGCAGGGGTGGTTGTAGAAGGGGCGGCCGAAGCAGGAGCAGTAAGATTCGAAGGGGTTGGCGTGATTTCGGCAGTGGCAGTGACAGTGGCAGTGGCAGTGGCGCTGGTGGCTGTTGGCGCGTCGGCTGTGGCTGGCGTTTGCTGTGCATCATCGCCGTGTGCTTCTGTCGGCTGATCTGGCGACATTTGTTCTAGTAATTGCTCGTACGACGATCGCCGGATGGCTGGCGTGTGCCCTAACGACGTTGCCATTTGTGGCTGAATTGTTCTTGCCCAGAGTGTCAAAGCGCTGGTTTGTAGCTCAGATGCGTTGACTCGGTTGTCCAGTGTTCGTGCGCGACGCGGGGGGGAGGGAGGGCAAACAAATTCGCTCAAGGCAGCTTGTTCTATGGAAGGGGGTGGGGTTTCCTTCCTATGATTCCCTATGTTCAAAAAGCCACAACGAAGTCAAAGTCAAGTGAGAAACCAAGTCAAGGATTGCAACTTTGAATGGAAGACCATTGAAATTTCGAGTTCAAACAGTTTTCCATACGATTTTCAGATCAAAGTCTGCAAAACGAAAAAAAGCCAACCAGATCAACAACCACCACTCGATCGAGATTCAAGTGCAAAAGACCCCAGTTAAACCCCCAACAGTTGAGCGACGAAGGAAGAACGAAAAGAAGAAAAAAAAAAGAGTATGACAATCGAATCAAAACGGAAACAAAAATCATACGGAAATTGCACTAAAACGCACAGTCGAAGGCCACCAAACGCTTGCCTCGCTTTTGCTCTCCAACTCCAAACTCAAAATTCAAATTCAGATCGAAGCCAACGAACTGAGCGAACAGTAAAGCAAAAACAGGTGGCCGCTGAATCCGATAGAACTGGGCGTCAGTAGTGCTGCATTTGAAGCGATTTTGGAAGAGTCAAGAAGGGGGGGTTACAGAAGGAAGAGAGCGAGAGAGAGAGAAGGGGGGGAGAGAAGGGGGAGAAGGGGTCAAAGGGGGAGAGAGAGAGCAAGCGAGAGAACTGAACTGAGCAGCCTCACTCTCACTCACTCACTCTCACTCACTCTCACTCAGTCCCAGGATCAATGGCTACAAGTTGAGAGAGAGTCAGAGAGAGAGAGAAGAGTCGGCAGTTGAGCGCAATGGTGCTTCCATAGAGATAGATCCACAACAACAACCCTCAAAAAGTGCCTTCTTGTTCAACGTCGCACACAAAAAGACCAAAAGAGACGAGAAGGTCGTTTCGCTTTTTTGTTGTTGAGTGAATTGGAACAAAAGAGCGGAGGCGGGGGAAGAGCGACAAACAGGAGACAGTGAAGCAGTCAAAATGAGAAATCAATGGAAAATGTATGGAAATAAGCTTACCGAAAAAAAAAAAAAAAAAAAAAAAAAAAAAAAAAAAAAAAGAGCAATGCGAAATCATCAAACAAAATCCAAACACGGATTTGGGTGACAACCAATAAGCTCAGAAATTGAGATTGGATTGTGTGACTTGGTTTGAAATAAGAAAGAAGGGGGGCAGCGAGTAGGGGGAAGAAGACGCAAACGCAATCGCTCAAACCCCATGCAAAAGCCCTTCAAGGTCCTCACTCAAAGCAGCTCCGTCCAACGCTTACAAGCAAAGGCAACCACACGCCACACTGTACGGAACTTGAGACAATGTTTCTTTGAAATGCGACGCTCCTGTACTGACTGGTACATCGGCTCAGTCCTTACCATTTCCATTTCCAAATTTCCTTTGAAACTCAAACCATTCATCATGAACTTTACTCCATCGGAAGGCATTGCGATTGCGTCGCCCGCGTTCTGGAGCGAGCGCTGGGTCAAGCACGAGATTGGCTGGCACATCCCGACTGCCAATCCGTATGATGACTGACTGACTGACTGACTGACTGACTGACTGAGTGCGATTCCTTATTCCTCTCACTGACTACGACTGACACTTCTTCCAACCAGCGTGCTCGTCGAGTACCTCCCAAAACTGATCGGACAGCCCTACCCAGCTGTCGACGAGCACGACGGCACCCCGCAGGCCCTGCTCCAGGCGCGCACCAAGGCGCTTGCAGAGTACGTCCGTCCGGCCCCGTCGCAGGCCGGCTTCTTGCTCCCTCTCTGCGGCAAGACCATCGACCTCGTCTTCCTCGCTCGCCTGGGCTTCCGCGTCGTCGGCATTGAGGTACTATTTCAATCCCGTCATTACGCAATGGGATCAGCAGTGAGCAGTGAGCAGTACGCAATAGAGTAGCAGTGGCGCAAATGGAGCGACCTGTCAAACATTGAATTCAGTCACGGCGACTTTTTTCGGTTTCCAAGCCAAATCTCCGTGTCGCGATGGCCCCATTTGCACTTTTGGGGGGAGGGGGCCAACCCGTTGGCAATCGTGGCACCACTTTGGAGTGATCCAACATTGCAGTTGGGCAACGTTGGATTTGGGAGGAAAGAGCCGGGGGGGATGGCTCTCTAAGAAGTACCGAAAATCACCGAAAGTTGTCTCAGACATGAAAGTCACACCTTGCAAACACGATTCAGAAGGACGATTCAAGAAAAAACGTTATTTTGTTGCGTTATAAATCACCAAAGGCCCTCAAAGAAGTGCTTGAAACCGCGTTTTGTTCTAACTTGAATCTCAATGTGTCTCAGATTGTCGAGCAAGCCATTCAAGAATTCTTCCAAGAGAACAACATCCCGTTCAAGACGGAGCAGCACGTCCTGCACGAGACCAAGGAGTCTGTCAAGGTGCACACTAGCACTGATCCGAACATGAACATTTCCATCTTCCAGGCGGATTTGTTTGCCGTGACTTCCAAGGTAAAAGGCTTTTGGTTCGCATCACCTCAGCTCCTCTAGGAGTCTGTAACAGCTTGTTTGGTTGTTCTCACTTGTGTTTTGTGTTGGCGACCTCCACCCCAAACCACAGGATGTCGGAGCGCTCCACTTTTCGTTCGATCGTGGCAGCTTTGTCGCCATGCAGCCTGCGCTGCGCACCAAGTACGCCGTGACGATGACTCGCATTCTCGCCCCGACTGCGCGCATTCTTGCGGCAATGATTGACTACGAGGAAGGCGTGATGGCAGGCCCGCCGTTCAACGTCACGAACGCCGCCATTGAGCAAGCCTTCTCCCCCGTCGGTTCGCAGATTGAGTACGTCGAAGTGAAGAGCAACAAGACTCGGTTTAGCTTTGAGATGCTCGAGCGCATTGTCATCATCGCCATGCCAAAGTAAACGCAGTCGACCCCTTTCGGTTTGCCGTCTGAATCAATTCGTAGTGGATTTATTGGTACAGGAAAGCGGGATACGGGAAACGACGTTGAGCAATTCGAACCCTCAAATTGCGGCAACATGTTCAATTCATCGCAGAACAAAGTGAGGTTTACATTCCGAGAGATTCTGAAGATTGCCATCAAGCTACTGGAAGCTTGCAGAAGAGGCAGACGTGCTGGGTCGAACTTGAACGTGCCGACCCTGGGGTAGGACAGTTGCTGTTGAAACCTGAACCAAGATTGGATTTGAATTTGCTGCGATTCAGTGCCAGAAAAGTGCCAGAGAGCGGATTATAGCTGTAACATTGATCTAATCAACCAAAGAGAAACTCACACTCGGTTCGGATTGTAGGCCAGTCTAAATCTGCCAGGATGAAAACAAATTCTCAGAAATCTTGCTGATGTCCGAAAGTACTCCAACAAAAGAAATCTACCAAAACCTGAGCCTCGCACTCTTGCTTGCGAGGAACGTCCTGGCAAAGCTCTTTGTTAGCACGTGGGACGCACAATGCAAGGCTGCCCCAAGCGCTGGTGCTGCCCCTGGTGGCGGTGGCGGTGGCAGTGGCGGTGCTGCTGAGTGCGACGGAGCGACCGTTCTGAGCTCGAGCGCAACCACAGGTCCAGGTGTCGCTGGTCTGCCTCCTCTGTCCAAGGCCAAGAGCAAGGGCAAGGGCAAGGGCAAGGACAAGGCCAAGGGCAAGAGCAAGAGCAAGGGCAAGGATGACCGAATCGCGGGTGCTGCGGGACTGGCAACCGGATCTCATACGATGAGTGACAGCGCTGCCACACCTGCCGCTTCAACCTCCGCTTCAACCTCCGCAGCAGCCCCAGCCACGATGACTGCATGGACGCACGATACTCGCTCGGGTGCAGCTCTGCTCGCGAAGCTTCCGCCAAAAATCTGCGAGAAGCAGCGTCCCGAGATTGCCAAGGGGAAGCCGGAAACCTGGGACATTACTGTGCTTGGATCCATCCTCTTGAACGTGTTGCCGCTCAGCGAGAACGATCGCAGTGCAGTCCGCGAGATTGTCAAGTATCGCAACGACTTTGCTCATGCCACGGCGTCTGAGATTACGCCGCTCGAGTACGCGAGAATCCGCGACGGACTGCGCGCAGCCCTCGTCGACAAACTGGCCACGGATGCCACCGAATTCGACGCCTGCTTCAACGAAACACTGCACAGAGTGTCGGCGCCCGCACCAGACGCCGTCGCGGCTGCAGAGCGCGAGAAGGCTGCTGGCAACGAGCTGTTCAAGCAAAATGCATTCGACGAAGCCATCAAGTGCTACACCGCTGCCCTCTTCGCGTTGAGCACTATCCGTCCGAGCTTACTGCAGTCCTCCTGACCAACCGCGCCACGGCTCATCTGAAACTCGCACATTTCGTCGAGGCCAAGCATGATGCCAAGCGTGCGCTCCTGCAGGGCACGCCAGCGTTCAAGGCACACCTCCGTCTGGCAGAGGCGTATCTGAAGTGTGGCAAGCACACAAAGGCCTGCAGGCACGCCGAATGCGCGTACAGTGGCTTCCAGCCGGGTACTGCCGAGAAACGCCTGGCACGCGAGCTGCTCGACAAGTGCCGCCTTGAGCGCGCCACAATCGAACGTGGAGAGGACCAGAATTCAGCGTATTCTATGGCATTTCAGAATGCCGCCGAGTCTCCGTTCCGCCAGCGAGACGTGGCCCGAGTGGGCGGCCAGGCGAATTTTGATGCACTTCTACGACTTGCTACATCGCTCGGGACTTCGACCGCTGAATCGTCTGCGTCACCCTCGTCCTTTGCAACGGAGTTCCAGCTGAACATCCAAGCACACAATTTGCGAGATGATGGCAAGTTTGCACAAGCCTATCCAGTCTTTCTGCGTCTGGCGCAGCTTGGCAACGCGATTGGCATGTACAACGTTGGTCTTTTTCTGATGAAAGGGCTAGGCGTTGCTCAAGACATCGCGCAAGCAACTGCGTGGTTTGAGAGAGCGACGCAAGTCCCGATTCGTGATGACGAGTTGTTCAAAGACCAGCGGATTGCGATTGGGGCCGCTTTTGTTTCGCTCGGCAACAATCACTTCAATGGTATCGGCTGCTCCAAAAATTTACGCTTGGCGTTACCCTACTACCAGCGCGCTGCCGATCTCGAGATGCCCACGGGCTACAACATGCTTGGCCTGTACCACTGGAAGGGCTTTGATGAATCGCCCATTAATCTCGCTCTCGCGCGAGATTACTTCCGCCTGGCAGTTGAGGGCGGGTGCACGGAGGGTATGACCAACATGAGCTTGCTATTACGCGACTTGGGCTTGTTGGAACGCGCAGCGCAGTGGGCAGACACGGCCCAAGCGTTCGGCGTTCATAAAGCTGCGGCCTTGGCATCGGAGATTCGATCGACTATTCAACGAGTAGGCCCAAAAAACCTTCAACACGTCCAAGAATTTTGCAATATGATGCCTCGGCGCCGCGCTCCTCCGACTCTGCTACCGTTCAACCAGTTTCCTACGCTGGACGAGCTGGAGGCCATCGCCTCGCCGACTGTCTACCTGAGCAGCCTGCTTCGTGCCAAGCGTCAGCTGATCGCTGCGATCGATGAGTTTCGCAGGAACCCAGTGACAGCCGACAGCACGCGTCGACTCATTTCGCTGGCAGCGAGTGCCAGGCGTACCGTTGACGGCGGGCTTGTTTGTGATCCGGAAAGTGCGGCAGTCCTTCAAGTCATTCTCGAGCAATCACATCCAGACGAGACCTTGGAACATGACAGACGTACTCTGCTGTCTGGCACAGGGGTTGAGTACGCGATCTCGACTGCCAACCAATACTGCGAGGACAGCTTCTTCAACCTGCGAGCCGGCTACCAGCTGATGTTTGATTCCTCAGACAAAGACAAAGAAAAGGGACTGTTCCACCTGCAACGCGCCTTCCAGCTTGTTGGCAATCGCAGCGAGAACGACCTTGAGCGACTTGACGTGACGTATTCACTGGGCACTGCGTACCGGATCTGTGACAAGCCCGAGCAAGCGCGCAAACTCTTCATGCAATTTCTCGAGCACAAACACCTTGGTCATCGTGAAGTATGCGAAGCGTACTTTCAGCTCGGCCTCTTGTCTCTTCTAAGCCTTGAATCTGTCGAACAAAGTTGTCGTGAAGCGCAAACGCTCCTCGATCTGGGCATTGCGGCACAGCACACCCTGCCAGGATTTCTGCAGCCGCGCCACAAGTCGCCCAATCGTGAGATGCTCGAGGACCTTTTGGCCACGCTCGCCAAGGGGCGCCCTGCCGCCCGACGAGTCATGCTCGTCCCTCCCGAGGGCGGCCATTTATTGTCGGGACCTCGTGCTCCTGAAGCCCTAATGCCGCGTGGTCTCTCCTCCAAGGTCCTTGAAGTGTATCGCTCGTCGCGCGTGAAGTTTCTGAAGGAGGCCCAACAATTCAAGCCTACGTTCAAATTCACAACACCCAGCGAACACATCACCTCTGCTGAAACCTTGCCCCGGTCACCGATTCAAATCGACGAGATGTTTCTCCCTTGCGTCGAGAGGCTTTATCACAACCGTGTGCTTGAGTGCGTGATTGTGGGGAGCGGCCTTCGCGCGACTTCCATCTCGTATATTGTCGAAGACTCGTCCCGAGCTCCGGCCGTATTGAGCATCTACAACCTCTCGGCGGCGCAAGAGAGGTTGCTGGTTCCTGGCCGAGTTATCAAGATTACCTCTCCATTGGCACGTGTCGTACCGTCAGACTCGATGCGCATTCGTGTCGATGACCCTCAGCACCACCTGATCATCGGTGATCATATCCCGCTGTGTTGGTTCTGCCTCAAGCAGCAAGAAGCCTCTCTACTCAAGGCGTGCGGACGATGCAAGCAGGCGAAGTACTGCTCCGAGACGTGTCAACGAAGCGACTGGCAGACGAACGACCACGAGTTTTTATGCAACGCGTCCACCCGTTGACACTCTGCATGTGTGTGTGTGTGTGTGTGTGTGTGTGTGTGTGTGTGTGTGTGTGTGTGTGTGTGTGTGTGTGTGTGTGTGTGTGTGTGTGTGTGTGTGTGTGTGTGTGTGTGTGTGTGTGTGTGTGTGTGTGTGTGTGTGTGTGTGTGTGTGTGTGTGTGTGTGTGTGTGTGTGTGTGTGTGTGTGTGTGTTGAAATCCAAATGAACTTTAACTGTTGTTCGCTGTTCCTTCTTCCACTTGAAACGTGTTCACTCTCTAATACGTCTCCCACTCAAGATTACTCAGAGTCTGAGCCATTCAGAGCTCACTCCTATTAATAATCCCCAATTCGCTTCTTTCCTTACTCCTTTTTGCTGTTTCTCAGACTCTGAGCTGTTTTCACTGACTGACCTTTCCCAACAGTTCGCGTCGTCCTCTTCCTCCTTCTCACTATGAACCCATCGCAGCAGTCGGCAGGAGGAGCAGCAGGACCAGGACGAGGCTCAACGCAAACGCGCTCGGCGTCGTCCTCGTCATCGTCCGCTGCTCCATCGGGTCAACCGGGCGACCATCCTCTCAATGATCACACTGGCCATGACGATGACCACGACGAGGCAGCGGCAGCGGGAGAGCTCGACGGCGACGATGGGCCAGCGCTCAGCCATGACGATCGCCGGTCCACTACTACTATTGCCGCCGCTGCTGCTGCTGCTGCTGCTGCTGCTCCCACTACGACCCAACAAGGCAGCAGTGAGCATGCAGACAGCAGCCACCAGCGCGGTGGGACTGGCGACGACGATAGCGACGACGATGCGGTCGAGCACAGCGATCCAATTGCGCGCGCTCAAGCGCTCAGACGTGTCAATCTCAGCGAGCAGCCAGATGACAATCCAGATCCAAATGGACCGCTGAGTCAAAACCCATCTGGTAAAGCTCAATTTATGTGCTAAACAACCAAAAATCACCCTCAAAACGAGTGGCTGATCTGCTGAGATTGGTTGAGATTGGTTGAGATTGGTTGAGATTGGTTGAGATTGGTTGAGATTGGTTGAGATTGGTTGAGATTGGCCGTATACCATCAGTATTGACGATGGAGAATACTCCTAGTATGCATGAGCATTTGGTGACTAACACGATTGGATACTTTGGGCAACGCGTTCCCTTTGCTTTGCTGTTCAACAGAACCAAACCGACGAAGGGTAAGACAACCATCTCGACTGGTTATGGAAGGCAGCCGGAAACGAGCGTTACTTCGACGGCTGTTGGAGGATCAAGCTGCTCGTCAGGCCAATTCTGAGATTCCTGGAGGAGCAGAAACACGCTCAAATCGCCGCTTCGAGTCGAGTGCTGCCGCCGCTTCATCGTCGTCGTCGTCGGCGTCGTCGTCGTCGTCGGCTTCTTCTGCGACGCGCCCGAGTCCGCTCGACCTGCTTCCGTTGCCGCTCGGCTGGGCCGCAATGCCGTCTGGCGGGCAGCCAACAGAACGACCGACAGAAGTGGCCATTCAGCACAGAACCTTCTCATTCTCTGCTCCACCTCCACTTCCACTAGGAGCTGCTGCTGCTGCTGCTGCAGCCGCTGCCGAGAGTGGCTCGGGATTGCCAACAGCTCTGACATCTGCGTCCACAAGTGCTGTTCACCCGTCGTCGGCTCGCTTGGGTGCCGCGATGCCCACACCACAGCAGGCAGTTCCCCATTGGCGAAACTTGCCTCCGGGAGCTACATCCAGCAGCAACAGCAACGGCCCCGCCGCCAACGAAGCAACAAGGCCCAGATCGTCTGCCTGGCAAATTGACGAGGATTCGTCCGTCTCCAACATCATGGCGTCATTGTCAGAAAATCAGACGACCACACTCAGATCGAACGTGCAGTTGCAAGAAGCCGACATCCCAGAGGATTTGGTGTGCCCCGTTTGCCTGCAGCTGATGGCGGCTCCGTTCATGTCCACCTGCGGCCACAACATGTGCCACTCGTGTCTTGAAAAGATCATTCAAAAGGCCCTGCCGTGCCCAGTCTGCAAGGCGGACCGCCGCTCACCCAGATGTTTCCCAACGCACTCGCCCAGCGACTCGCTGAATCGTACCTGCGCAATCCTCTGTCCCAGCTCCAGCAGCTCTGCACCAAGTCCTCTTGGTCTCTCCCCGACATTACGGCAGTGCTTCAAACCCTCGAAAACAAACGCAGGCAACTCGTCGCCTCGGAAGAATCGATCGAAACGGAGCTTTTGCACACGTTCTTGACCGAAGCTGAACGCCGAACGAAAGTGGTACGTGAGAAGGAACGGTTGCGCTCCTTGTGGGATTATTCGGGTCTGGCCACTTAACCTTTTTTGGGGGGGGGGGGTTGTGGGTGGAACTTGGTTTTTTTTTTTGTTTTTTTTTTTTTTGGTTTGTTTCTCACAGGAGGTCTTGCAATTGGCGAATCAACTGCGCACCATCCAAGCTGATTTGCAAGCTACGACCGAACGCCGAAATTCCCTCCGCCAGCTGGAAGCCAGTGAAGTGGGCGATTCGGGCCCGCCCTCGAAGCGATCTCGACTCGCTGATGAGGTCCCGGAGCCGACGGAATCGGCTGCTGTGGCCGACGGGTCACAACCTCGCAACCCATCTGGTCCGATTGCGCTGTCCGGATCTGCTGCGTTTACATCGTTGGTTTCAGCGGTGCAGAAACCCGCGTACATGAAATCGCTGGCACAGCGCAAGAATCGCGTGTACACAGAGTTTCCCGACTTGCTTCAACACTACTTTGACGCGCATCGCCGAACACCTGGACGTAAGCACCCTTTTTTTTATTGCCAAACGAATTGTTTGTTTGACTCGAGGGTCTTTGTTGGGCCGTTTTTTTTTTTTTTTTTTTTTGTTTTTGTTCGTTTGCTCAACGGAAGTGGCAAACTCTTTGGGGGTTTTTGCAAACAGGGGCTGTCAACCGCTTCTCCACCAGTCTCTCCATGTTTACACGCTACGACACAGCCAACGTGCTGACCACTCTCCGTTACGGCGATGCAGACAACTTTTCCAGCATCATTTCCAGGTTGGAATTCATGAATTGTCAAGAAGGCCATTTGTTATTGTTGAATGCTCACTCGTTTTCCGCCGCAGCATTGAGTTTGACAAAGACGAAAAGGTCTTTTCGACGGCAGGTGTTCAGAAGAAGATCAAGATTTTTGACTTTGAGACGTTTGCCAATACCACCTACGTCGACGTGCACTATCCAGTCTTGGAAATCACCCTTGAGCACAAGATCAGGTGAGTTTTCATCCTGGCCTTCGATGCATCAATGCAATGCAATGCAATGAGGGTCGTTACTGAATCATGATTTTCGCTGGTGTTGCATGCTGTCGGCAGCTCGCAAAGCTGGAACCCCTTCATGCAGTCCGTGCTGGCCGTGAGCGACTATTCTGGTGCGGTCGGACTGTGGGATGTGAACACTGGACAAAATCTCCGCATCTTCCAAGAGCACGAGAAGCGTGCATGGACGGTTGACTTTGCCCAGACCGATCCGACACGACTTGCTTCGGGCTCTGATGACTCTCGAGGTTTGTTTTGTTCCCCTGCTTGTCTTTGGTTTTTGCTGGGAATTGCACTGACAGTTTGTGTTTTTGTTTGGTCGCTGTTTGTCGTTGAAGTGCTGATTTGGAGCACGACGGCGGCGCAGTCAATGCTCAACATCACCACGCCTTCCAACGTGTGCACTGTCAAGTTCAACCCAGTCAACTCGAACGAGATTCTCGCCGGCTCTGCTGGTCGGTAGCATGACTGAGAAGCATCACTGCCACAGTTGTTGTTGGTAACTTTTTATTTTGTTGTTTTTTTGCGAACGGCTGGGGTGTCACAGATCACTCGGTCTACTTGTTCGATTTGCGGAACACCAAGCAACCTGCTCGCGTGTTCCAGAGCCATTCCAAGGCGGTGTCGTACGTCAAGTTCCTCAACTCTAGCGACTTTGTCACGGCGTAAGTTCACAAACATTGCGATATGGGGCCAAAAGGCAGTATCGGAAACCTGTTCGTGCCAGTACTGAGGAACTCCTTCTGTTGCGCTTGTGAACATTTGCAGTTCGACCGACAGTACGCTGAAGCTGTGGAATGTCAACAACGGACAGCTGCTCCGAACGTTCTCGGGGCACACGAACGAACGCAACTTTGTCGGCCTGACCACAAACTCGCAGTTTATCGCATGTGGCAGCGAGAAGAACGCCGTGGTTGTCTATTACAAGTCAATCTCGCATCCTGCAATCGAGCATCGCTTTGACTACGAAGGGGTAAGAAGCTGGGTTCCAGTAGTTTCGTTTTTGCTTGCATTCGTCGAAATGACCCTCTCACACTCACACTCCCCTCACTTGCCTTTGTCATTGCAGGCACCGCCCCAGAATGACCAAGATACCTCGCGATTTGTATGCGCAGTGTGCTTCCGTGGTCAGTCCAACCTGCTGCTTTGCGCAAACAGCATTGGCACTCTGCGATTGATTGAACTGGCCCAGTCCTCTGCCTCATGAGCATGAGCATGAACCACTCGTGTCGATTCAAACCTTCTCAGAGATCCGTGCGTGCTTTCTTTGCTCCGTTGTCTGTACTATCCATCATGTAGTTTAAAATCCTTGCAAAATGAAAGACCTTCGAGCACATTGAATGTATTGCGACGAAAATCAGCAACAGTTGATTGATCCACTTTCAGCATTCTCAATCTAACTTAACGCAGTCCAATCTTCGGACTCTTTTTGTTGTGCTTGACAGACCTTTGCAAATAGTCGTGATGGTCGCCAGTGACATTCTGCAGGTCTTCCATTGCGAGGGTACGTCGGTGCTGTTCTTCGACCAGGCCTGGCCCAGTCGCTGTCCGGTCTGCAAGCAACGTTGGCCTACGCAGCCATTCGAGTCGTTTGATGCTGTCCTCGCCACGGCCGAGCGTCAGCAGAAGAGCGGCGCTGAACCAGCAGTATTGGACCAAGACGTCCATCCGGCCCAGACCGGCCCAGAGCTATCACAGGGAGTCAAGCGTGATACTACGGCAAGTTCAGTGGCACCTGGTGGCAATGGACTCGTGTCGGGCAGCGTCGAATGGCACGGAATGACCGTCCAGCGAATTGCATCGCCGTTGGTCTCTGCAACGCAAAGCCAGCGATCGCTGCTCGTCCGTCCAACAGCTGGAAACATGCTATGGTAACGAGTGCATGTCGCGGTGAACTGGAGAGGTCTGATACGCGGGTCGGAGCTGCTGAAATTGAAAAGTTTGCTGATTTCCGACTCGTTCCTCTGTTTCTTAGGAGCTTTACTGCAGGATCAGGGCCACTTCATGTTGGAATTGCATCTTCCGATGGTAAAGTTTCACGTTGGAGGCTTGGGGAGATGAAGGGGGTTCGGGTTGGGCACATACAATGTTGCAGCTCTCGTCTCACCGATGCGTTGGTTGACTTCAGGCTCGATTGTGTTCAACTTTGACGAGCGAGGCTGCATGCGCGATGACATTGGATGGAGCGAATGCATTGCGGTGCAGCTTCCGCAGCTCGCGCACTTGTCAAACGAGGAGTGGGATGCGCGGCTCGAAAGTCATTGCTTGGAGTGGATGGCTTCAATGGAGCCTCAACAGACAGGGTATGGCTATCGCGTTGCTGTTTTGAATGTTTGAGGCTCATGCTGCCGCTGCCTTCGATGTCCAGGAGTGGGTTGCAGTTAGCACGGCCCCTGTTGTCTCTGGTTTTACTGATCGTGCTCCTCTCCCCCCCCCCTCCTTTTTTTTTTCTCCCTTGTTGGATGCTTGTCATGCACAGGTATCACGTTACTGACAGGAACTGCTTTGATTTTGTACTGGCGTGGCTATCTGCGCTCGGTGTTGATGGCTTCACCAAGTCCGATTTTGCCGAATCGTTTGTGCGGCACCGGCTTGCGACTGCCGCAGTTTACGTGAAACTAGCTCGAGGAATTCATGCCAACGGTTTTGTATTATTGTGAAATAATGCACGAGGAGCCTGTGGGCCGAGCGGGTCATTCCAG